AAAAGAAACAAAACACAAGCAATCTGGTGAGCTCTGGTGGCCTAGTGGCAAGAAGCTGCACTGCAGTCCCTGAGGCACACGGTTCAAAGCCACCAGATGCTTTGCTAGAGAAGGAGGGACAATCTCCTCCTGTACCAGTCAGATCCAATTTGATGTTACACACACAAAAAATAATTAAAAAAATTTTTAAAAATTTAAAAAACAATCAAAACCAGATCAAACATAACCTAGATTATTGGCATCAAGATTATGTAGCTTTAAGTTTGAATTACATCTCAACATAAACTCAATTCATTCCTGTTAAGCTGGATCTGACTCACAGTTGACCCTCCAGTGGGCTTTCAGAGGCGGTAACTAGGATGGGAGGAGACTGCTCATCCTTCTCCTTGAAACAGCTGGTAAATTAAAATCACATTCTTTGGGTTGGCAGTGTATGGATGCCAGGAAGTTCTTCATAAACACAGAAAATCTGCCCTCAAAACTAATTTCAGAGACAAGACCAAAAGTTGAAAATGATTTCTCAGCTAGAAGAAAGGCACAATTTTCACACAGTCAAGTGGGAATCTAATGGTAAGTGGTCCAAAGGCACTTCACGAGGTACTTCTGAAAAAAATTTTCACTGAAAATTCTATGGAACAGAGGCACACTTTTGATATACATGGGGTCACCATAACTGTGCAGCAACTGATGTTTGTATTAAAGCTACAGAAATGCAGATTTGGAGAATGTGGTGACCACAAAGTCCTCTAATCTTTATTTATTACCTACTTTGAGTAAGATAGTATGAGCAATATTAATTACTTACATTGTCAGATACTGTCAAGTTGAAGCACAAAGACTCACAAGGACCCTATGAACAATAGATCTGAGCCTTGCCCTATCCTGAATCATTCTCATAATTCATGCTCACACACAGTTGTGATCTCTGTGTCTATGTATCTCATTGAGGTTTTTCCTTTTCTTTTTTAAAATTTTTATTTCTTTATTGGTTTGCTTACAAAGTTTGCATACATTGTATTTCACACTGTTCTTCATTCACACTATGTTTCATACAATTCCCATTCATTATGTTCTCTAAGTCACCATTGGATTATGTCTACCATGACCCTGTCCTTCAGGTCCCCACCAGATCTTTCCCATTTCCTTATCTTCTCCCTCCACTCATCAAATTGTATAACTTTGTGATTTTGCCCCTACTCATTCTCACCTCTCTGCTCCCACCCCTTCTTCCTTTGGATACTCATGCATGTTCTACTAGTTACCCTTGTACTTTTACAATAATGGTCTTATGTGGTACTTGTTCTTATGAGACTAAGGTCACTCAGCATGATGTTCTCCAGTCTCTCCCAAGTTACGTAGTATTTTTTAAAACTGTTGTTCCTAAGTGTTGCATATTAAGTGATTGTGTGAATGTACCATAATTTCTAAATACATTCCATTGTGCTTAGGCATTTGGGCTGTTACCAGGAACATGGAAACAGCCCAAATGTATAACACTGCTATGGACATTAGTGTACAAGTCTCTTTGCCTCAGTTCTCATTTGCTCAGGGATATTCTACGCAGTGGAAAAGCTGAGTCATATGGAATTTCTATGTTCAGCTTTTTGAGGAAATGCCAAACTGTCTTCCAGAGTGGTTGTGCCATTTTACAATTCCACCAACAATGTATAAGATTTCCTAACTCTCCACTTCCTGTCCAACATTTATTACTTGTGATCCTGCTAAACTTTGCCACTGCTACTGAGATAAGATGGTATCTCACTGTGGTTTTGATTTGCATCTCTCTTATTGCCAGTGATATGGAACGTTTCTTCATGTGTCTGTTGGCTGTCCAAATGTCCTCCTCTGTGAAAAGTCTTTCTATGTCTTTTGTCAAATTTGTAATTGGATTATCAGTCTTTTTCTTCTAGAGACCCTGTAGGACTATGTAAACTTTTGTGATGAGACCCTTGTCTGAGATTGTATTGCCAAATGTTTGTTCCCAATCAGTAGGTTTTCTTTCATCCTGTTGGAAA